CCCTCGGCCTTCCGACTATGTCTTCCTTATGAGGACATAGTTCGGATGCAGCTATTGGGGGGCGACCCGGGCCTTCACTGGAAACGAGAAGGGATCTAAGTTCCAGGATGGAGAGAGTGGCGCCTTCCTTCCCTAAAACAGTACGGCTGTGTGTGGCAGAGGAGAAAAGGCAATCTATTGGATTGCATACTATTCAGCGGGAGATTTTAGAAGGCTTGTTATGCGTACCGAGAGAGTGGTTATTTTGCATACAAGATTTTCCGAGTCGTGGGATTTACGACGTTACTTTTCACGAGCAAGACCAGGTTTCTACGGTTATGGAGAGGAAACGGCAGAAGGAAGGTGATGGGTTGTTGGAAGGAATATACTTTATACCTTTTGTTCCTGTTTCTCGTGTCCCCCTTTGTGTCCATATGTATCATCCTTTTGTGTCCGATGAAGAGATTGTGTCCTTTCTTAACCGATATTGTTCTTCTGTTTCCAAGCCTCTGAAACCTCTGTTAATGTCTTTGGTGTCTATAATGGAAAACGCAAATTTTTTGTAGTTTTCAGACCAGATATTACAGAGGTAAGTGGAATTAAACAACCCCCGCAGAATTTTTCTATTGGGGGTAACAAAATCTAGGCTGCCCAGGGTAAAACAAGTAACCCCTACTTGTTTTACCCTGGGCAGCCTAGATTTTGCCGAAACTGCTATCAATTTGGCCACCTGAGCGATGGATGTAACAAAGGAGTGTGTTGCAGAAACTGCTTTGCTGAGGGTCATACTGCAGCAGAGTGTGCGGAACGTAGAAAACGTGACTTATGTGGTAAAAGCAGTCATTTGGCGAGGTTTTGTCCACAACGTTTTCATGAATCTTCACGGGTGGTGGTGGAAGCAGAGGCTGGTCGGTCTGAAACAGTGGATAAAGGTAAGGATATTCCTGAAAAGATATGTATCCCGTTTATTCCTACCTATGGTACAAAAATCCTCTTAAAAGAGGAAGTGGAGGAGAAGCATGCCAAAATAATGGCAGAGGATCGGGAGAAATTGAGAAAGAAAAAGGAGGAACATGTGCTAGCTGTAGAAGCCATGGAATGCAGAGAATCTACTGAAGCTGAGTCCGCAGAGGCGGGCCCTCGGGGCAAATAGTTTTGGATGTGGAGAAAGCTGCAAAAACTCCAGAACCTAAAAGGCGTAAAAGGAATGTATTATCAAGAGAATTTCCAAGAGCTTTGGAAGGGTCTTCGTCGGATTTTGAAGACCGGGTGGAGTCAGGTGCCTCTGGTCCCTATTCCCCGGTTTTTGATACGCAGGCGGTTTCACGACTCAGACATTTCAGGGTTTTCGCAAGATCTGGAAGACATGCTAGATTCGGTTAGTGGGACGTGATATGATGAGGTAATTTCCTCTGATCTCTGTTTTGCATAGCTTCACAGCTCGTCTAGACACCGACTTTAAGCTTCTTACATTTAGTGATCTTTGAATTTTTGTGTAAATTATCTTTCAACCTTATATGTTTACAGGAATGCGGTCTAGAGGAAGAACCGACTAACTTTAAATGGGATCTAGGTCCTTCAATATATTCGTGTGGTATGGGTAAAAACATTGGGGTGGCCGTGTTGTTTAGGGGGTGGGAATATCAGATTATAAAAGTTTTGGAAGTGGTGTCTGGGAGGGTCTTAATGGTTTATTTTTTGTATAGGGGCACAGTATGTAGGGTTGTAAATGTGTATGTACCAGTGGATAGGAATGAGAGGATAAATGTTTGAGAGTTTAAAGTTGGTATTGCCTGGGAGAGAATTGACATTTGTGTTAGGTGATTTTAATTGCATTATAAGAAGGGAGGATAGAGTGGGTGTGGGAGGGGGCTATAAGTTGGATAAGTCAGGTCGGGTGTTAAGTAATTTGGTTATGGATTTTGGGTTAAGGGATGCAATTGGGGTTATGGGAAATGAGGAAATATTTACGTTTTTTAGTGACAAAGGTAATGTTAAGTCACAAATTGATTTTTGTTTTCTTTCACAGGGGGTAGTGGCTGAAGTTCTACGCACAAGGAAGATTGTTTTTTCAGACCATGTAGTTTTAGAATGCGAGGTGAGAATGGATGTAAAAATGGATTTTGGAAGAAGTTTTTGGAAGCTGAATGTGAGTATGTTGATGGAGGAAGACGTGAAAGAAGAATTTAAATTGAAATAAGAGTATTGGAAAACATGTAAAAACAAGTTTGTATGTATTCTTGAATGGTGGGAATGGGTGAAAATGAAAGCAAGAATTTTCTTTTTTAGGAGTGGATGGAAAAAAGCTAGGAAGGACAGAGAATGTCTAGATAATTGGAGAAAGAGAATTGAGTATTTATGTAAGCTGAGAGAGTTGGGTTGGATGGTTGATGAAGAATTGGAATGTGCAAGAGAAAACAGGAACAAATGTATGGAGGAAAAAGGTAAGAAAATTGTGTTTGCTGCAAGATTGAATGTGTTGGAGAAGGATGAAAAATGTGCAAGATTCTTTTTAGAAAAGCGTATGAATGTAGGAAAGGTATGGAAGGGGTTTTAAATGATGATGGGGTTTTGATTGAGAACAAAGTAGATATGTTAAATGAAGTGAAGCATTTTTATGAAAACTTGTATTAGGAGAAAAAAAAGAGTTGAGAATCAGGCAAATGAGGTGTTGAGGGGAATTGTGAATGGTGTGAGGGAAGATGATTGTGGTTGGTTAGTGAGGGACATAAATGAGTGTGAATTACATGAAACGATTCTAAATTTCAAATTGAATAAAACGCCTGGATGTGATGGTTTGCCGGTTTAATTTTATAGATGGTGTTGGGATGTGAATGGGGATGAGTTTTTACAAGTATGTAAATATGTGTTGAGTGAAGGTGTTATGTCTGAATCTATGAAGAAAGGTGTGATTGTTTTATTATTTAAAAAAGGCGAAAAGTGTGATTTGAGAAATTGGAGACCTTATAACGTTGTTAAACGTGGATTATAAAATAGTGGCAAAATTGATTGCGAATAAATTAAAAAGTGTGATTGAAGGGATGGTAGGTGAGGAGCAAGTGTGTGCGGTGCCAGGGAGACAAATTGCGGAGTGTTTGATGTTTGATGGGTATAAGAGATGGTTTATGGTTCTGTAAGGTGAGAAACCAAGAGGTAGCGATTGCGACGATTGATTTCGAAAAAGCTTATGATAGAGTAGCGCATGATTTTATGTTTGAGATTTTGATAAGAATGGGATTGCCTTTGAAATTGGTGAAGTGGATAAGATGTGTGTATGAGGATATTGAGAGTGTTGTACAAGTGAATGGGTGGATGACAGAAAGTTTTAAGGTATGTTCTGGAGTGAGACAGGGCTGTCCCTTGTCCCCTATACTTTTTATTTGTGTTATTGAACCATTATTGAGAAACATAATGAATGATAAAGTTGTGAAAGGTATATAAATTCCGGGAAGTAATGCAAGATGTATGAAAGTTATTGGTTATATGGATGATGTTACGGTTATATGTAAGACACAAGCAGGTTTGAGAAGAGTAAAATTGTTAGTTGAAATTTTTAGTATGGCTAGTGGTTTTAGAGTAAATTGGAACAAATGTGCATGTAAGGCGTTTGGGTGTTGGAGAGAGTTGGAGTTATGTGGATGGCCGGTTGTGGAGAATGAAATTGAAGTATTAGGTGTGAAGTTTGATGATGACTTTAAAGGAAAAGAAAGTTGGAAGAAAGTGGTAAATCGTGTGAATCAAAAAATTGGGTTATGGAATGATAGAATTTTGTCGTTTGAAGGGAAAGTGTTGATAATTAAATCTGTTTTAATTCCTATTATGTTATATTTATGTTTTGTGTTTCCACCTAGTGAAAAAGTTTTGAGGAAGTTAAGTAGAATCATTTATTTGTTTTTTTGGAGTAGTAGAATGGAGAGACTGAGTAGAGTAAAAGTGTCAAGAAAACGTGTGAATGGGGGAATGAATGTGCCTGATATTGAAAGATTTTTGTTTTTTCATTATGTTAGAATTTGTGTGAAAATATGTAAGAAAGAAAGCCTTGTTGCCTGCATGTTGAAATATGCTGCGGGGATGAGTTTGAGTAAGTATGGGTTACATGTTATTGATCGTAAGAAACCTATTTGTTTTGTTGTTCCATGGTTTTATAAGAAGATTGAAGTGTGTATTTATAAGTATGAGTTGCAGGGTGTTTCTAGTGAGGTTTGGTGTGAAAGAAATCATGTTTTTAATATATCGAATGAAAAGGATAATGTTATTGGCATAGATGGTTTGACTGAACGACAAAGTAAAGAGGTATGGAAGAAATTGGATGGAATTGAAATTCTGAATAGGCAGAGAGATATTGCATGGATGGCTGTGAATAATTGTTTGGCTACAAGAGAGTTTCAGTATGGCAGACGATTGGCTAGGTCAGAATTGTGTCCAAGAGAAGGTTGTGGGGTTAGAGAAAGTGTTGTGCATGTATTTTGGAATTGTGAGTTTATTAGGGAGTTGATTAAGAAATTGTTAAAATTGGTTGTTGGTTTGACTGGTGTTCCTGTTTTCTCTTTTGATGTGTTGCTGTTTGGTATGTGTAATTTAGATAAAGTGAAAGAAAGGGTGTTATGGATTATGATGCTTGTGTGAAAGAAACTATGGGATGTGAGGAATTTGTTAGTATTTTAAAAAGAATGTTTGTCTGTGGATGCATGTACTAGAATGGTTAGAGGCAAAATGTTTCTGTACTATTTGAATGATGTGAGGAAACATGGGGAGTTGGATGCGGAAGGAGTGTGGAAGATGAAAAAATGGAAAGAATGGTGTGCGTAGAACAATATTGGTGGTGGGTGTTGTGAATTTAATGTATTGTAGTATTGTTTTTCCTGATAGTATGTTTGTATAATTAAAAAAAAAAAAAAAAAAATTTGGATTAGCTGGGGTTCAGCAATATTTTCTTTGTAATATGTTTTTGTATTTTGTTCAGGGTCTGAAGAAATCTGTAATATGGTGGGTTGAGGTAATGTTGGGTGGTGGTGTTGTGTATACATGTTTAAACTGGAGGAAAGGCTCTATGACTGAGTGATCATATAAAAAAAAAAAAAAATCTGTTCTTATCAGTTTAATATCGGATACGTCCCCTATCTGGGGACCATATATTAAATGGATTTTTGGGACAGGGAGATGGAAGAAGAGCTTGCTCTGTCCACTCCACGCATTGACCTGGTATTGCAGTACCTCCAGGACCGGTGCACCTCTCTTATGCTGGTTCAAAAAATAGACTTGGGAAAAAAAAAAGCAAGCCACTGGACTCTCACTTGGTGGGAAAGAAATGCAGGAAACCTGTAAACGAAAGCAAACTTGTTCTCCTTTCCTGCTTTCTCTGTCGGAAGTGCGATCTCTGCCTCCCTCTGTCTGCGGCATGCCTGAATGAAGCCCGGACCGACCGAGCGACCAAAAACATTCCTTGCAATTATGGACACTTGTATCAATGTTTGGTAACTTATTTCATTTGGATAGCTTGTCCAATTTGTTATTATCTATCATGTGTTGTGTGTGCAACATTCAATTCTGTTCACCTGATGCAATGTATTCATTGTTGTCATATAAATCTATGTAATCACGTCATTGAATAAATAAATGTGCCAAGTATATCCATTGGGATGCCAGAGTATTTCTATCCAGGTGGACTCTGCTGGCTGGCTTGCTGGCTGCATTATCAATGTTGAAAAGTGGGTGGTATTATGCAAATCTACTGCAGCCTGCAGCATGCTGGTCTTTGAAATTACAGCACTAATATTTTGGAGGGAAATCGGAGCAACATCCAAGTAACCAATTAAGGGTTTAATTAATTGAATCATTGAGTGAGTGAGCAACCAGCAGATGCTTAATTGCTTGCTCTATCTACCCTACTTGCAGCTGAAGAGGAACAGACCAGGTGATCCAGCAGCCTCGTCAGGCTCATCAGTGGTAGCAGCTGGAGAGAGAGAGGTGCAAGGTATGTCTGGAGGGGAGCATATAGAGGAATGGACAAGGTTAAGAAGGGGAGCTGTGTTTCCAGGGCTCAGAGGTTGTGTGCTCTGTGACTGACTGATTGTGTCTCTGTTGCTATTTGTAGCCAGCTTACACCTAGATGAGGAAGAGGTGGGTGGCACTGTGCCCAAGGCTCGCCGCAAGCTGAAGAAGCCCAGGCGAATGGCAGGTGAGTAGCTGGGCGCCCATTCCGGTTATCGCTTCTCGGCCTTTTGGCTAAGATCAGTTTACGCTGGTCTTGCCAGGAGGTTCCTGTTGGTTGGTGACGCAAGCTCCTCGGCCTTCCGGCTGTGTCTTCCTTTTGGAGGACACAGTCCGGTTGCTGCTATTGGAGGGCAACCTGAACCACCACAGGAAACGAGGAGAGATCCAGGATGGACCGGGGACCGCCTACCTATCCTAAGAGCGTGAGGATTGTTGTTGAGGAGGAGAAGAGAAGAAGCGTATCTTTGTATACAGTGCAAAAAGAAATTTTGGAAAAGTTGTTGAAGGTGCCCCGGGAGTGGCTATTTTGTATCCAGGATTTTCGGGCAAGAGGGGTATACGATATCACGTTCATGGAACAGGAGCAGGTCACTACGGTGATGGATAGGAAACAACAGAAGGAGTCAGAGCAGATTTTACAAGGTATGTCCTTCATTCCTTTTGTTCCTGTGTCCAGAATACCTCTCGTAGTACACGTGTATAACCCCTTTGTCTCTGACGAAGAGGTGATGGTGTTTTTAAGTAGATACTGTTCCACCGTGTCTAAGCACTTGATGCTAGTCAACATGTATGGCATTTACAATGGAAAACGCAAGTTTTTTGTAACATTGAGATTGGACACCACAGAAGTAAGTGGTTTGAAGCATCCTCCCCAGAACTTTTCCATAGGTGGCAAAAGAGGATATTTATTTTATCCGGGACAGCCGATATATTGCCGCAACTGTTTTCAGTTCGGTCATCTGGCTGACGGTTGCGGCAAGGGTTTGTGTTGCCGAAATTGTTTTGGGGAGGGACATACTGCAGCAGAATGTGCAGAAAGGAGGAGGTGTGATCTGTGCGGATCGGAGAAGCATATGGCCCGAACATGCCCAAATTTGCAGAAAGATAAACCGTCTGGTGAGACAGCAGAGGGTACGGATACATCTGGGAAAATTTCAGGGAAAAAGCCTGTGACAAAGTTTAGAGTACCTTTTATCCCGACCTATGGTTCACAGGTACTTACTCAAGAAGAAATTGAGGAGAGGCATCTCCGCATTATGGCGGAAGATAGGGCTAAAAAAGCTGCAAAGCCTTTTGGTGAAGAGAGTCCTGTGGAAGGACAGAGTATAAGTGGGGAGAGCATGGACATTACAGCTGGCCAGGCAACTGTGGTTGAGTCTGGGGAAGAGGAGAATAAGGCTGTTCCTGTTAAGAAAAAAAGGAAGAGTAGAAGGGTATCTAAAGAGTTTCATAAGCTCTTGATGGAGCATTCACCTGAAGGGGGGTTACTTCAGAGTCTGAGGCCGCTGTTTCTGCCTCCTCGGGTGGTTTTGGAGCAATTGTTTTGTCCCAACCTTCGGACAGAATTATTGATTCTGATGAGGGCACGTGAAATGATGAGGAAATAATTCCTCTGATCAGATGATCTCAGTAATTTCACTGAATGTGAGGAGTATCAAGAGTGCACCAAAGAGCTTTTTTTATGATTTTTTGAAAAAATTAACATGTACTCTCTTGTGCCTGCAGGAAACCTGCTTGATATATTTACCACATGAGGTCCAGTAGAATTTGGGTCCTGGTTTTTTTCCCTTTGGTGGTAGGAAAAATGAAGGGGTGGCAATATTATTTAAGGGGTGGGATTATGAGATAATTAAGGTTTTTGAAGTTGTATCAGGAAGGGTTTTGATAATTAATTTTCTGTTTAGGGGCACGGAATTTAGAATAATTAATGTGTATGCACCTGTAAATAGGAAGGAACGTATGGAAGTGTTTGGTTGTTTGGAAACGTATATAGCAGGGAGGGAATTTACTTTTTTGGTGGGGGATTTTAATTGTATCATAAGGAGGGAGGATAGGGTGGGGCAGGGAGAGGAGTATAAATTGGATAAAACCGGGAAAATGTTAAGCTAAATGGTTAAGGATTTGGGGTTTAGTGATATGGTGACTGTCACAAAGGAAATTGAGGTGTTTACATTTTATAGTGACAAGGGGAATGTGAAATCACGTATTGATTTTTATTTTATTTCACAGGGTGTTATAGCAGAAGATCTTACTATGCACAGAGTATGTTTTACAGATCATGTGATGTTAGAATGTAAAGTGCAAATAGAGGTAAGAATGAATTTTGGAAAGGGTGAATGGAAATTGAATGTGAGTACTTTAATGGATGAGGATGTAAGAGTGTTATTTTTTGAAGTATAAGAGCTGGAGAGAAAGTAAGAATAATTTTAAAAATGTGATTGAATGGTGGGAATGGATTAAGTTTAAAAAAATAAAAATTTTATTAAGAAAGGATGGGAAAGAGCAAAAAAAGAAAATTTTATGATGGATGGAGAAAAATAATCTATTTGTGTAAACAGAGAGTTGGGATGGGATGTTAGAGAAGATTTAGAGATCGCGAGAGAGGAGAAGAAAAAATGTTTAGAGGAAAGAGTAAGAAAAATTGTGTTTGCAAGAATGGAAGTGTTGGAAAGAGATGAGAAGTGTACAAGGTATTTTTTTTAGGAAAGCGTATGAATGTAAAAAATGTATGGAAGGGATTTTAAATGAAGACGGTGTGATGGTGAATGATAAGGAACAAATTTTGTATGTAATTAAATCTTTCTATGAGAAATTGTATACTGAGCGAGAAAGATGTAAATTTAGAGAATGAATTGTTAAGTAAAATTGAAAAAGGAATTAAAAAAGTGTGGATATAGGTGGTTTAGAAAGGGATTTAACAAATAAGGAAGTGAGTGAAACAATAATGAATTTTAAACAAAATAAAACACCAGGATGTGATGGATTGCCAATAGAGTTTTATAGGATGTGTTGGGAAGTGATTGAGGATGATTTTATAGATGTATGTAAATGTGTTTTGAGTAAGGGATTATTGTCTGAGTCAATGAAAAAAGGAGTGATTGTTTTAATTTGGAAGAAAGGAGATAAAAATGATATAAGAAATTGGAGACCGATTACCTTGTTAAATGTGGATTACAAAATTTTAGCTAAATTAATTCCGAATAGAATGAAAGGAGTTACAGGAAAAGGGGTTGAGGGCTGCGCTTAGCAAAAAATAGACAAAACAAGGTAAAAATAAATAGAGATAAAAACAATAATAAGTTTATCCACATATAAGAAAGGTATAAGTTAAAACAGTTCTCACTGATGTGCAGTGATATAATATAAGTCCTCAAATGTCACTCCGTCCTTATGGTGGGTGGTCCATATATGTGAAGACAAAATGAGAGAAGAGAGGCTTCCAATGGTGAAATATTGTATGTCCAAAGTATAATATATATTCAAAGGAAAAGGTATTTCACTCACATTTGTTGGAGCTTTATCCAGCTCTCGGAGAGAAGGCACTTAGTGGTTTAATCCCCACTATCGGATATACTGAACAATTGATCTGTCCATCCGGTTTGGAGTTTCTTTGGTGTAGGCTAGGACCTACTCAGATGTGCAATATTCGTTATGCTGGGGAGATAGGTCCGCCTTTCCGGTATTGGGTGATGGGTGTCCACGAGATATATAAAACAGCAGATAGTGCTCTCAGTATGAATAACACAGTAATATGTATTAGTCAATTATACTTACAAAAATAGAGCAGACAGATACTGCTCTATTCCCACAGCGCTGGTGGAATTATCCCCACCTCAGGATTTCTTTGGACGGGATGCACTCCAGTGGTAGATGATAAAATAATACAGTATAAAATAAAATAAAAATAAAAGAAATAAAATGATAAAATAATATAAAATAATATAAAATAATTGTATATAATAAAATTATGCCAGGGGTAAAAAAAATTAGATAAAAGTGTATAGAGTACAATAAAATAAGTAAAAAAATTGGTCCTATATTGGAAGGTAACCAAAAAGTAACTTTTATTGACTAAAATACACTTATAATAACCATTTACGCGTTTCACCTTTAAGGTTTTATCAAAATGGTAAAAGAACAATACACCTGGCAAAGGGTTAAATATATAGGTTCACAAGGGTTTAAAATTGGCGCCAAAATTTGATGCACCAATAACAATAGAGATTACAATCAATCTTTAAA